CCTCCCTGTGTCCATGTGTTCTCATTGTTCAACACCCACTTATGAGTGAGAACATGTGGTGTTTGGTTTTCTGTTCTTGTGTCAGTTTGCAAAGAATGATGGCTTCCATCTTCATCCATGTCCCTGCAAAGGACATGAATTCATCTTTTTTATGGCTTCATAGTATTCCATGGTGTATATGTGCCATATTTTCTTTATCCAGTCTATCATTGATGGGCCACCTAGATGTTCTAATTTTAAATGAAAAACTACAATTTGTGTGGAAAAATGCTTTAGTAGTCCTGTTTATTTAAAATCAGATCTTTTGTTCTTTATCATTTGCTTTCATCTTTTTCACACTTAATCTGGCCTTCAACACTATTACTTTTTTTTTTTTTTTTTTTTTTTTTGAGATGGAGCCTCACTGTCATCCAGGCTAGAGTTCAGTGGCATGATCTCAGGTCACTGCAACCTCCACCTCCTGGGTTCAAGTGATTCTCCTCCTCATACTCTCGAGTAGCTAGAATAACAGGTGTGTGCCACTGTGTTTGGCTAAGTTTTGTATTTTTAGTATAGATGGGGTTTCACCATGTTGGCCAGGCTGGCATCAAACTCCTGACCTCAGGTGATCCCCCTGCCTCAGCCTCCCAAAGTGCTGAGATTATAGACATGAGCCAGCACAGTCTCAACACTATTACTAAACGATTATTATCTCTTACTAATCATAAATATAGTGAGGTTATGCTTTAAAAATTGCACAATTTTAAAACTACTTGTGTCCTAGAGTATTCTATGGATAATGCTTTGTTTTCTCCTATGAGGAGATGAGAAGTTAGAAAGTTTAAACAAGGAAGTCATAATTTTGTAGTTTTTCTTTATTAAACTACCTCAAATAATAATGTAAAGTTAAACTATAGTATATGTATTATTTTGGTTAATTATAAAATTATTCCAAGGTTTAGATTATGTGGGACAATTTAGATGGATGCTTTTTTACCTTTTTTCTGCCTAACAGATATAGCTGGCTCCTATCGGAAGCATGTTTTCATTACAAACAATTTAGTTTTACCTAATCAGATGGGTTTGCATTGACGGTAGGGCAGGTCCTACCTATATGTTCCCTAGCTGTAGACTGTTGATTACTATTAGGATCCTAGTATTGCAATACTAGGATAATCTTTCTAATTTTATTTTGTTTTATATTTTTGAGTCAGTGTTTCTCTTGCCAGCCTGGAGTGCAGTAGTGTAATCATGGCTTACTGCAGCCATAACCTCCCAGACTTGATCGATCCTCCCACCGCACTCTCCTTTTTTTTGTTGTTGTTTTGTTTTAAGAAACTCTTTTTACTGCAGCTGTAGACTACCAATGTTTGTCTGTGAGATAAGACCATAAATGAATGATGTTCCTATAGAAAAAGAAAAGAATAGTGGTAAGTTGTATGCAATTAAGTGGTAGAAAGTTAGAAAAATTCACACTTTTTTCTTAGGATTACATGGAAACTAAAGGTGCTTTTGTGAAACTCCCATTAATCGTCTTAATTGAAATTGGCATCCTATAAATTTGACAATCCTACTTTACCTCGATATTACAGAATACTTCTGCAGTGTCTCAGTATGCTTTTAATGTTTATAAATGAATATTTGTAGTTGTTAGCTAAACTAGGGAGAAGATTGACAAATATGTTTAGTGCAAGTTTGTAAAATAATGTTAGGTGATTTTAGAAAGAATTTTGAAGAAGTGACACATGAAAACATCACCAAATACTGCATCATTGCTAAAAAAGAACTTGAATATAAATATTACTCTTTATACTATACAGAGATTGTTGGTTTTGCAAGTTTATAGACATAAAGATTTATATTCCTTGTTATAAAAATAATTTAGCTTTCCCACAATGCTAAATACCCTGGACAAACTGTCTATTATGTAGATTAGCTTTTTATTTTATTTTATTTTTTTTACTTCAGTAGAGTTTCAGATTTCTTTATTACTCTGTAACCAGAGTATTACGGTTAAATTTAGCAAGAGGGTGTTGAATATTTGGGGGCAGTATGTGAATATTTGTTGTGAAGTATTTTTACATATTACATTAAAGAAGAGAATTGTTCAAATACTTGGCCATTATATGTAACTTTGAGTTATGGTGAATGTAAGAAGACAGTCGGAATGAAAATAACCTACTGGTAAATAAATGTCTTTAGAATGTGTATGCTGAAGCTCTACATAAGTATTTTGAGGTCCTAAATCATATTTTCATTATAGCAAATATGTTAACCTGCAGAGGTCTTTTTAATCAGAAAGTTCAAGGGTTATCATCTAGCTTTTATTATCTGATTTCGTATTGTCTTAGAAATAAACTGGTACTTAATTTACAAAATAACAGTATTATAAGTAATACCTTTATAATAGTCCATAAAGAGATATATTAAAAAATTGCAATCAGTTCCCAGTACAGTAATTTTTAGATAGTAACTCCAACTTAATGTGGATTGTGTTATAAAATGCTTGCAAATAAAATAATCCTTTCTTAGAGAAATAATGCTATCTATATATGATGTTCCTATCCCTACCCAGGCTAGCCCATGAAAGTTGATTTGATCTATAAGGTAGCATGTAAGACCATACTTTTTCAAAGAAAATAATGCTATTACCAAATATGTAATTAGGAAAACAAAGTTGAGAAAGTATTTTATTTATCTTGAATCATGGTATTTGAGAAAAAAGCAGAGATTTGTGTGAAAAGGAGATATTTTCTATCACTCATTATTCTGAGGGTCTGGTTGTCCCAGGAATTGGTGGCTAAAGATTGGCCGTTCCTAGACATGGTGTTTGTTTTTACATTTTAAAGGGACACTAACCACTTTTAAGCCTTAGGAGAACAAAGTCTTAACCTTTATAAAACCCAGAAAATACTTTATATTTACAAAGATGAGTAATAAATAATTTTCACTTTATCTATCTCCAGTAAAAACAGGTCTCAGACTAGAACTTTTTCTAAAGAAGTTGATTGTTTTGGCCTTCAAGTAAATTATCTGAGGTAAAGTGTTGTTATTCAAAACTTCTAGTTAATGATTAAAGCACAGAACTAATACTATTTCAGCTTACCTAAACTGTGTAAAATATTTCTATGGCAAGATTTCCTTATGGCTTGAGCACCTACTATGTGCCAGGCACTGTTCTTGGTAGTCTGACTACAGCAATAAACAAGAGACAAGAAGCCTTGATCTCTTAGAGTTTACATTCTAGTAGAGAGTTACTTCAAGTTCCACTTGAATAATGTTAAAAAGTTCTTCTCATTATCTTCAGGTTGGTTTACTTTGAGGTACATGCCCATAGCTGAAGTGGCTGTAACTCTACATTTTTATCCAGTACCCTAGGTACCATAAGAATAGGAAAGCATTAATGACTATATTAGCCGTTTTTAAATAGGTCAACAAAAGACAACATCCTGTTAAGAAGCAGTAAGAGTTCTTATTTTAGCCCAACCCTTCCTGAATAAGGATTCTTCTGATTATGAGAATGTCTTAATTCTTTACTTCTGTCAGGGCAGTTCTGTTTTGAAAATTTTCATGTGTTACTGCTAAAGGCACCATATTTACTTAGGAGCTGTGTAGAGTTTTTTAGAGGCAATATAATCAATTGATAGGCACACACATTCTAGATCAAGACTATCTAGTTTTAAATCTCAATTTCCTTTAAACTAGCTGTGATTTTGAGGTTTTTACGTTTGCCTCTCAGCCACAGATTTTTTTTTTTTTTTTTTTTTTCGGAGACAGTTTGACTTTTGTTGCCCAGTCTGGAGTGCAATGGTGCAATCTTGGCTCACTGCAACCTTCACCTCCCAGGTTCAAGTGATTCTCCTGCCTCAGCTTCCCAAGTAGCTGGGATTACAGGTGTGTGCCACCACGGCTCTTGTATTTTTAGTAGAGACAGGGTTTTGCCATATTGGTCAGGCTAGTCTTGAACTCCTGACCTCAGGTGATCCACCCACCTTGACCTCCCAAAGTGCTGGGATTACAGGTGTGAGCCACTGCCCTGGCCCACATTGTTGTTGTTGTTGTTGTTTCTGAGTTTTAAAAAATGTCTGTAAAGTAGCAATAATAATGTGGTTAATGTAAGAATTAAAAGTTAATTGGTAATGCTCAGTGTGTGGCAAGTACTAAATGATAACTGTTATTTTCCATGCTTGACATAAAGTTTATGTAAAGGTTGCTTTTCTAGGTTTGTTTGCCAAGTGCTTTATTTTGTTTGTTTTGTGATTTCAAGGAGAACTATTTGCTGTATAATGGAGATCGGAGTTCTAGCTTTGGGCCATGCACTGATTTAATCTTGATTGAATCAATATTTGTGTGTTTTGGGGTGGTTCAGATAAGATAATCTCTTCAGTATATTTTAATAGGTGAACATGTTGAAACTTTGGCTGTTTTTGAATACTTAGTTGGAACTTGTTTTCTCTAAAGATTTTAATACTAATGTGAAGTGATGATCTCAGACACTTAGTTTCATACCACAGATCAACAATAGGTATTAGTAAAATTCTAAAATTTTAACTTATTGGATTATTACAGATAAGTCTTGTGTTATGTGTTTAATTATAAATGTAAACTGGTTTAACAGACATGCCTAATAAAGATAGTTCTCAAGAAGAGCCTCTACCCTGGCTTTTCGTGTCACTGAGAACATACTGCATAAAAATCTTGAAATAATCTTCTAGTAAAATTTGAGTCAGATAAACTAGAAATACATTCCCTAGCTACAACTTAGTCTCTGGGTGCTCTTTTCCTTAATTTAAAGATGTTATCAACTCCACTTAGATTCGCTTTGTTTTTATGTCTTATTTTCCAGAAGACTCTAGATTTTTGTTAGATTTTCAGGTCCTTTAAAGAGTATCTTGTAGATCAGCACACTGTAGAATCGAAATAAATGTAGTCAAATTTTATTGGAATCAGGTCCTATAAAGATTATTGTGTATAGCTCCCATAAAGTTATTGTGGTTTTTCCTGAACTTTTCCTTCTGCAGCAAAGTTCTATTTTCATTAACTACACACTATTTTAAAGTAGAAGATGGTGGTGAAAGATCTGTTTGTGTCACCTTTGGATTTTTTTTCTTTGTCAAAGCAATGGCAGTGTTGATTGTAACAGAAAATTATCTGGAATTTGGACTTGAAACAGGTACTAGTTTCATACAACTTTAAAAATCAACTTTGCTTTATCTAGTGTTAATATTTTTGACCTCAGTATTTAAGTTTTATATCTGATAAATACTTAAAATTAAGTTTGAAGTATATACTCTAATGTTCTAAGTAATTAACCGTTATTGTTCTTAATTAAGATCTTTTTTTGCTTTTCTTTTAGTAAGTTTTTAATTGATTTTTTCCAATAATACTGTCTCATTTTTTCCTTACAGTTAAATAAGCTTCTGTAATGCTAAAGTTTACTCACATAGTTAAAGAATTAATGCAAATTTTATGCACATTCATGGAATGTACAGATATCAAAGGGATGTTTTCAAAGACTGTTCTTGCTAATAACCAAATTTTATTGCATTATGGCATACTAATTAACACATGAAAGAGCTAAGCTAGTCACTTCAAACTTTAAGATGCTCTATTTTCTAGCATTTTATTTCCACAGAAAGAGTCTGTGTTTCACATCTGTGATAAGAGTAATCTTTTTTTTTTCTTACAGGGTTTACAAATTTTTCAGACAGTGCGATGCAGTTTCTTGAAAAGCAAGGTTTAGAATCTCAGTAAGTTTTTGAAAAATTAAGCATTATTAAATTTAACATTTTCTATTTTTAATAAAGCAGTATTTACTATGAATAGTTGGTTTTAAATTAGTAAAGAGTTTGGACTCTTTACTAATTTAAACAATTGGACTGTTACTTCTAGAAACATCCTTACTCATAATTTTATATAGAATTATAAAAATTTTATATAAAATTAGTATCTTTCATAGAATTCTTATGTAAATTTGCATTTCTTTAATTCTTCTCCCTCCAGAGATTAAGTTTATATCCATGTCATATGTCAATTCCCTGTTGAATGTGTAGGTTAGGTTGTTGTGACCATGACTAAAGAGATGCCTAGTTTAGTTAGTTTACAGTTCACCAGAATTCATTATAGATACTTGAATAATAGCAATCTTTTTGTAGAAATTTGCTTTGTTTTACTGTTATTGTGACTTGTAAGATAATTTATTAGAAGAAAGGAAATTCTTTGAAAGTTAATTATAAATATTTATCGGCTTTTTAAAAAATTTTATTTTTAGGAGTCCTGTTTCAAAACTTACTTTCAAATTTTTCCTGGCTATTTTCTGTTCACTCATTGGGGCTTTTTTGACATTTCCTGGATTACGGCTGGCTCAAATGCATCTGGATGCCCTGAATTTGGCAACAGAAAAAATTACACAGTAAGCGGAAAATGTACATAAGCACATGCAGATAAATATATGTTTTTCATCTTAACGAAGGTATATTATTGTAATGTAATCATAAATTATTGTATTGAGAATTACTAAATAACCATTTGATGTCACACTTCCTCTTTCAACTATAAGCAAGTTTCTATTTGCTTCTAAGTTTTAAGTCATATATTTTAAAAGATACACCGATTACTAAATTTGTCTTACCTGTTAAAATGAAAGTATCAAAATGTATGTTCTTTCTCATTCAGGGGCTTCTATTGCAATCTCTGCAACTAAACAGGATCTATAGAAATTTCCCTTAGAAAAATCAGATCATTTTGATTTAAAATATTGTTTAAATTTTTATATAAATCTATTTAAATTAACTTTTTAATGTAAAATTTTATTTAAAAACATTTCAAAACTACAAGTTGTATATATGAGTTGTTTGTTTTCCTTATGTTATTTATCTGCTATTTAGGCTCTTATTAAAATAATATATCATTTTATTTTGGGATTAATACTATACAGTGTTACATATTGTACATTACTTCTAACTACCAAATTCTACTATAGTTCTAAAACTCTATGTTAGTTTGGAGAAGTGATATTCCATCTTTATATGTAGTTCAAAGCCCATTTACTATATTCTTTGTGGTTGTCACAGATTTTTTTTGTTGATGTAGACATCTTGGCAGAAAGACAGGCTTATATCTACTTGAACTTATATTCAGATCAAAGTTCCTGTCTCATCGTTTTGTTTTGCAGTAGAAGCCCAACTTGAGAATATTTTATTTTGATATGTGTATTTATAATCATTAAGTTTCTCTGGGTGATCTTATTTCCTAACATTTCTGTTCTTTAACACTATTTTTAATGATGCTGATTCTTTAGTCTTTTCACATTCTTAACTCTCTTACCTATGTCATTTTCCTTTAATTTTGACTGTCTTTTTTTTCACCTCACTTCCATTTTTCTACATAAATGCTTTGTACGTGTGTTTACTTATTATCACCCCCCACTACACACTCCTTCATAACCTTTTTTTTTTTTTCCTCCTTTTACTCAGCATGCTTTTGGCTACATCCTGCTTTTCTCCCACCACCCGTCTTTCTAATGGCTTCTTTTAAGACAAAACCTGGTTCTCCCCCCTCTCTCTACACACACACTTCAGTCCACTAACCCCAGTGTTATGATTTAAATAAGCTGAAAAGGGTGGGTGGAGGGGAGCCCTTCACAAGCTACTGAAACCGCTGTGGGCTGCTCCTTGATACTAGAGTGTTCCCTAGCAACACTGCATACCTAATACTACTTCTTTCTTCCCCCACATCCGATGGTTTATCCAGGCTGTGGGATGAAAGAATCACTTTATAAAAACATTTAAAGCATTTAGTGGTGGTTGGGGGTGGAGTGTACATTTTAGTGTCCTTTTTAGTAAAATGTGGCTTCATTTTAAGATTTTTTTCCTCTAGGGATTTGGGGTTTTATTTTATTTTCAGTTTATTGCAGCCCCTCATTGTGTTGTAGCACACTGCCTTGATACAAGGGTGTGGGCAAGCTAGTTCTGTTGTGAGAGTTAACATGACTGGCACAAAGAGCAGCATTCTCTTCACCCTCATGGCCAGGCACTAGGACCTGCTTTTCTATCAGAGGTTAGGGCAAGAGTTCTACCTTTGCCTGTCAGGTGTTCCTGGCTTCCTGACCTAGCCCTGTTTCCTCACACAGATCACTGTCATTTGCCTGTGTAGTGATACTTTAAAATATGGTGTTTGTGTGTAATTTCAACCCTCCAGTTTAGCTCTTAAGTGTGGTTGATAATGAAAGCAGTCTGTGGTAATAAAATATCTGAAGAATTTGCCTATTTTCTAAAATAAGAAAAATTTTCACCAGCCATCTGTCTCTGTAGGATTTAAACCTGGACAATTAACAATGAAGTTATAGCACAGACCTGAAACCTTTCCTATATTAGGTATATTGACTTGTCAGGAGTAATGTAAATTTTTTTGAGAGAGATATATATAGGATAAAGAAATTATTTCAAGTGTGTTCATAATCATTCAAAAAGAAATTAAAATGTGGAATCACTTATGATTTTAATGATGGAAATTTAAAATTATACATTACATTACAGTTGAAAGGTTCCTTAGTTGCAGGTTTTACCATAGGTTCCATCTGCCATGTGCCTTCTAGTATTAGGTACATGACTAATTACTGTCATTTACTTGTAGATAATGAGGAGATACTTTGTTTCAGTTGCACTAAAAAGTATCAGATGACTCTCCTGTACTGAAAATCCATTAGATTCGTTGACTATATAAAGATAGAATCATTAAATACCTGCTTATTGAATCAGGAATAAAGTATGGGATTATTAAAGAACACTAAAATAGAAGTGAACAAATCTGAATTTTAGTCCTATATTTACCTCTGCTCTGTTATTGCCATGAACAAGTCGTTTAACTTTGCTGTATCTAAATGTTCTCATTTGAAAAATTAAGATAATGGCATAGTTTCTCACAAATTCAAATCAATGTTAATGACTATATGATAAATATAAAGTGATGATGACAGTTTTTTACCGTAAGTAGTAGAATACTGCAAATTAGTTCTTACCTCCGTTTTAGTAAGACCCGAGTTTCTATAGTTTATTAGCACATGCTGTTTCTTAATTTTTATATTTATTTCTTACATACTTTCAGAACATTACTTCATATCAACTTTTTGGCACCTTTATTTATGGTTCTGCTCTGGGTAAAACCAATCACCAAAGACTACATTATGAACCCACCACTGGGTAAAGAAAGTATCCCTTTGTAAGTATGAGCATTTGAGGGCTAATTTTTATCATCAGAACTGCTTTCCTAAATGTTATTTACTGTATTTGTTTTTCAGTGATAAAATCAGGACACTGTATTTTTCAGACATTAATAGAAATGCTAAAAGATATGTTATAAAATTGAAACTACAGACCATCATTTAACATTTTTGTGATCTGTGTTAATGTTAATGATTATTACCTTGCACTAATATTGCCTTGTACACTTGTTTTTTCTCTTCTTTACGTTGTCATCTTTCTGTTGTCATTGTGCCTATTGTTTAGATACCTTCTGAAGTTCTTTCTTTTATCAAAATTATGGAGAAAAAAAGGTAGTATAAATAGAAACTCATATACTTAGCCCCTATATTTGACAGTTGTTAACATTTTCCATATTTGCTTCATCAATTTTTTGGGTTTTTTTTTTTGATAAAGATTTTTGAAGTAAATTAGAGACATAAGTTTTATCCCTTAGTACTTTTGTTTGCATCTCTAAAAAATAAATAAGGATACTTTTCTACATAACAATATTATTGTACCTAACAATATTAAAAATAATGTCTTAATATTATTATCTAATACAAGTTTGTATTTCTCTAGTTAGGCAACTGCATTTTAGCAGAAGAAGATGGTGAGGAAACAGAAACAGTTTATTAATAGGCATTAGTAGCTAGACTTGATATGTTAACCTTGTAGAACTGTTAGAGTAATAGGAAGGTTCAGACAGAACTGGTTCAAACTCCAGCTCTCCTCCTCACTAAAACCTTCACTTGAGACAGATTATTTAACTTCACTGAGCCTCTGTTTCCCCATCTGGAAAATAAAGATAATAGTATCGACCTCACAAGGTTATCATTGGAATTAAATGAAAGAACACACGTAATGCAACCAGCTGGAATTAAGTGCTTAATAAACGTTCTTTTCACTGCTTTGCCTCATCAGAATTAAAATACAAATACTTGACTAGTCATTGACTCTGCAGTGGACATTTTATATTGTGTACTTCTTTTATATCCTGGTGTACATATAAAATCATTGATGACAATGATAATTTTTTTTTTAGAGTTAATCCTATTGAACCAGGGAAATAGCCACTGAAAAAGTAATGTGTCCCCCCCACACACACACACAACTAATTACCTTAATGGTAATTTTACCTAGACACGTTTCCTAAGTATTGAAAAGTAATTCTAAGGATCCTAGGGTTTTAGATAAAATCTCAGAGAAACTTCTAATTTATGTCTTAGATACTGAAAGCATTCCCAATCCTTCCTTGAAATTTGGTCATGGAAACTGGATTTCATATTCCTGTAATTGTGCTCTCTAATTTTATGTTTGCCTTAGTTAAATTGAGAAAATAAGGAAACTACAATTTATGATACACTTATCACATACAAGTCATTATGTGAAATACTGATACTTTACATATTGTATCTTCTTATAGTAATTGTCCATTTGTTGCTATTTTCATCCTGTTTTATAGATGGAATAATAGACTCGGAGGTTAAATAATTTGACTGAGGTTGTTCAGCCAGAACTGGTGTACATAAAACACTTGGTAGTTACACCAACATTCACTTCCCAATTCCAGCCTAATTAAACTTCATCTGGATTTATTAGTAGTGAATACTTTATTTAGTGGAAATGGGAATAAGGAACTTTTCCCTTGTGTGCATATTAAATTATAGGAAAAATGTTTGTACATAAAGACCTGAGGTCCTCTTTCTGTGCTTTTTCCCCCTTTGTCCCATCCCCATTTCCGACCTGTTTCATAAACATTTCAAATAAAATTATAGTCTTACCTCTGCTCTATTTTGTTCTTCTTTAATTTGAATTTATGATTAAGCGATTAGACAGGCAGTTTTAATTTTTGTTAAAAATCTAAAGTGCATATGGTAGATTGTGAAAAAAAAAATGGCTGCCCATCAAAGAGAATAGGATGAAGGAAAAATGAAGTGACAACTTTTTTCTGTCACATAGACAAATTTCTTGAAAGGTCTGTGTAATCAGAAGCAAAAAACATGGTACAATGTAGTTTCAACCCAGAAATGTAGTTGAATCTATGATGTGTTCTGATAAAGTATTGACAAAATAAAATATTGGTAAACAGAGTCTATGTGTGCTCATAACTTCATAAAAAGAACACAGAGAACATATACAGGAAAGCTTAGAATGGCATCAGGAATTTAGGATAATTTCTTCTCCCTATTCTTTACGTATATACTTTAAGGCCTCTCCTCATGCTCCTTCCTGAAATATTCTATCAGATCAACTTATTGGATATTTATATTACTTTAATAATCTAAGTAGAAAGTACTATTTAATGACTGTTATCCTAAATCCTGATCCCATAAACTGAACAAATAATTTTCTGGTTCACTACCTTGTTCTGTTCCTTTCATTCACATTACCTGTTATCCTCAAAGGCTGTGAAATCTGTCTTCAGGCTGCGCCCAGTTAGTTGTTCTTGTTGCACAACTCCAGGGAGCACAATGTTGTTTATAGGTCCCCAGGAAAGGTTCAAGGCTGTGGGTAGGCTTGCGTCTTATGTATGTCACTCTCACATGATGGCTCCTTAATTTCATTGTAGTGGAAACATGTTGATAAAATGTTATGCCTTTATCTTTCTTAGCCAACAATGCTTTTCCATTGGAATTTTATGTCCGTGTACCCTCATGACTTAATAAAAAGAAATAGAGAGTATATACAGTAAAACCTTTGTCTAATCCCCATTTCTTACCTCCATTTTATAAACAGTTGGAACAAAATTTACACTTCAGGTTTTTCTATATTGTAGTTTTAGTTCCAAGGTTTTTTTTTCTTTTAATGTTTTCCCATTTCTTCTTCTTTATATGTGTCCATTCTACCCTCATGTTCTTAAGAATTTCAGGGAGACCCTTCTGAGTTCCAGGTTTTTTCTGGCAACTCAGTCTGTGCATTGCAACAGTCATATTAAGTGCCTGATAGGTGATAGATATTAGACTAGATGCCAAGGGTGGTCTAGTCACTACATTCAAATTACTTGCGGTATAGTTCTTCATCAGAGAAGAAACCCATAGTCTTTTAAAAACATTAAACACCAAAAGGACATCATAAGTTATCCCTTCTTTTTGAAATTCTTTAAGGAACCCTCACTAGTGATCTGGTTTCTGAAAAGATGTCCTTAGATCACATATTTTCACCTGAATGCTAACCTTAGCCTTGAGGAATTGCTCAGAACCGAGCCAGCTTCAGTGCATAGCAAGTTAAATGAATTGTTGTAGAGAAATCTCAGGCATCTGATTTCTTCATAATATATCAGAATTTTTGATTTTCCGGTGGTTCAAAGTAAAAGCTCAGCAGAGTGAAAGATCCCATCCAAATATGTTTATGATCAGGCAAAGCTGTACCCAATGATGATGGGTGATTGACTTGATTCATCCTATAGGCAATCCCTGCAGTTTTCTTTCTTTCCCCTAGTCACCAGTTTAAGACCACCCAACTTGTCTTTTCATGTCACAGCCAGTTTTTATCCATGGAGGAGGGTATATAGAAAAGAATCTCATGTGTTGCTCTACTTTTTTCTTCTAGATACCTGTTAACTTCTTACGCTTTCATGACACATTTGTCTGGTTCTATTATTTAAGTGAAAGTATCATACAGATAAGTCTATGGCAGAGTGAGATTCTTTTATGTCTCTAACTGTTGCTAAGTATAGATTTCTTATATGGTGAGCATTAACTTATAACGAGAGCATGCCAGCATATTGTTGTCTTTGAGAGCACCATATCAACTTTTTGATCTGTAGAATGACAGAAGCCACATTCGATACTCTGCGACTCTGGTTAATAATCCTGCTGTGTGCTTTGCGGTTGGCCATGATGCGTAGTCACCTGCAAGCTTATTTAAATTTAGCCCAAAAATGTGTGGATCAGATGAAGAAAGAAGCAGGGCGAATAAGTACAGTTGAGCTACAGAAAATGGTAAGTTTTATACCCTAGTCAAAATGAAAAATAGCAAAAACTACACTGCAAAAAAAAATTGTTTTTCTTTATTAAATGGTATTTCAACCCTTCATATTCTTATTGTAAATAAACAGAACAATCTTAAGCTGACAGATATCAGAGACCTTGATCTAATTTTGGTACCAAGTGAAGAAGGGTTCTTAATTCCTCTTCCTGCCTTAAGTGTTTTGTGTCATACAGTGGGAGGTACAAAACTGTGTTATGCCTAATATTGCTGAATGGGACCCCTCTAATTGATTTGAAAGACATTATAACATATTGTCCAGACTTTAAGACTTAAAGAGTAGGAAATACTTTTAGTGGCTGAATTTATTCATTTTAATATTACTCCGTGTACTTTAACACGAAGTGTAAGAACTAAATTTATTTGGGGCTTCCAGAGAAGGAAAGAACAAGGAATCCATCTGCATTATAGTGGACCAATAACCTGATTGTATCTTTTTTTATAGAGAGGTGGTTTTAGCTCCTTTGTTTTATTACTGTTATTTTATTTTTTGTAGAGACAGGGTCTTTCTATATAGCCCAGGCTCATCTTGAACTCCTGGGCTCAAGAAATCCTCCTGCATCACCTCCCAAAGTACTGGGATTACAGGCATGAGCCACCACATCCAGCCAGCTTCAGTTTTTGATTTACCTCCATAGTTAGGGGCATTTACTAAGATTTAAACAATTTTTTGCTGTTTTACCTTTTATATATTTTTATATTTTCCATCGTTTGACTTCAAATATGTTCGTGTAGAATGGGGACTTACTGTTTTTATTTGTGAGGGATTTATGCTTATATGTGACTCTGCCTACTACTGTTATTTAGTTTGATGTTTTAGGTAGATGTCCTTACAGATTTAAGCATATTGTTTTATCTTTGAAATATAAGTAAATGTATACCATTTGAATTATAGTCGTTATTTTCTCCAATATATATACATCACTTAAGAATTATTTTTAAGGGGCTGGGTGCGGTTGCTTACGCCTGCAATCCCAGCATTTTGGGAGGCCGAGGCGGGTGGATCACGAGGTCAAGAGATTGAGACCATCCTGGTCAACATGGTGAAACCCCATCTCTACTAAAAATACAAAAAGTTAGCTGGGCATGGTGGTGCGTGCCTGTAATCCCAGCTACTCAGGAGGCTGAGGCAGGAGAATTGCCTGAACCCAGGAGGTGGAGGTTGTGGTGAGCCGAAATAGCGCCATTGCACTCCAGCCTGGGTAACAAAAGTGAAACTCCGTCTCAAAAAAAGAATTGTTTTTAAGGAATCTATTTTAATACTCTCACATTCTAAAAACTTGTCTTCAAATTGAGCCTTTCCAAAGTCATTTTGGGGACATTTATAATAAAGCACAACTTATTAACACTTAGCTTCCTTCTTGTGAAAGGATTATTTTTTAATGTGTCAGTTGTATTAGACACTTAAGAATGTTGTTGGTTGCAGGTGGCTCGAGTCTTTTATTATCTTTGTGTCATTGCACTGCAGTATGTGGCGCCTCTGGTAATGCTGCTTCACACAACTCTGCTTTTGAAAACACTAGGTAGGCATGCCCTGGCAACTTAGGAAGCATCTTTTACTTTCTACCTTTAATTAATAATGCTTTTGGTCACCAACAAACAAACGCAGCTCAGTAAATTGTTTCTCTCTTTAAAAGTTGTAAGAAGAACCATGGGAAAGTTTTGGCTGTGGAAGGTGATTTACCATCTTCATTTTGAAAACTTAGGCCCATGGTTTTACAGCTTTATGTTTTATCTTCAAGAATTGTTTACTAAAGGTTAAGTCTCAGATTTACCCAGTAACTTTAGTAAGCATTGTTGATCTTAATTACTTTTGTGTTATAAGAGGATGATTTAAGGTTTGTTATTCCCTAACATTTAAATTATTACAAGGAAATTATAAACCTACATAAATTACAGAATGCTGTGGTAAGTTCTAGTTCAGATAACTTACATTGAAAAGGTGAAGATTTCTCAGTGAACTAACAAACTTCTACAAGTCTCTTCACTAAGCTATCAAGTCCCCATGTGGTTTTATTCACGAAGTATCTGTTGCATTCATCATTTCCCCTTGCTTAGATCAGGCAGTCAGCCATGTAGGGGTTTAAGAAACCCAAAAGAATGAAAAATGTTTTTTGAGTGGATGGACTTAGTAGATTTCATAGACCTGATAATAGGTATAAATGCCCTTTAAGAATCTGTGGAATGTAAAGGGATAGGTATTTGAACTGTAAATTAAGTGACTCATGTCCTATCCAATGTAAGAAAGTATATGATGAAAAAAATTTCCGGAAGCTATTAATAGGTCTTCACATTGAAATCAAAGGTAGTTTCTGAGAAAGAAATTTATTTTCATATTCTAGAAGTAGAAAAGATTTCTGAGAAGTTATTCAGTCTGTCCCTGTCACTCCAGTAGAGTTAGCTGATTCATTTCTTATACAGTGAGAAAGTTGTTTTTGTTATTTTACCCATTTTTAGTGCAGTTAATTAAAAGTGTGTCAGACGTTTTGCTTTTGTGTGTACCTTTACTGATGAGGCCAGATAGATTAATTATTTACGTTATCTAGAAGGATTATTATTTTACTTTATTTTCAACATAAAATGATTTTCTGTGCCACTAAACTAAACTTATTGTTAACTTCAAATATAGTAAAGATTCATTTGTAATAAAAAGCTTTGGAATTACTTACTCTTCAAATTTTGTGTCTTCAATTTTCTAGGTAATCATTCCTGGGGTATTTATCCAGAATCTATCTCTACCTTACCAGTGGATAATAGTCTACTTTCCAATTCTGTTTACTCTGAATTACCATCAGCTGAAGGGAAGATGAAAGTAACTGTTACACAAATAACAGTGGCTTTGAGCAGCTTAAAAAATATTTTTACTCCTCTTCTTTTTCGAGGACTTCTGTCTTTTCTGACCTGGTGGATTGCTGCTTGCCTCTTTTCTACAAGCCTTTTTGGACTTTTCTATCACCAATATCTGACTGTGGCATGAATCTCAGTTGACAAAAAAGCATATCCACATCACACTTTAAATTCAAATATTTGTGCCCTTAAAGGGCTGATGAAAATCAGAAGAAAGCAAATACAAAGGAAAAAAAACATATCAGAATATTTTGTATTAAATGTGTCCTCTATATTCTCAGGGTGAATTAATGTTATAATATTTAAAATTACAAAATAGATTGTTAACTGTTACACTGTGGCATTGGAATTTTAACTCTGTATTTACTGGTATGAGAGGGCTATCTACAAGGGTAATACTTCTGATTACCTTGGTTTACAGAAACCTCCAGCAGTCTTTGAAACATCTCATGTGACTCTAGTTATTGATTGCTTTTAATGGTATAATGGTACTGTTGATAGTTATAGTGGCTGCCTGTAGAACAATCTTCAAACTGAGCCATGCTTTAGGGGAGGGAAAGGGGCTAAAGTCTCTTCTGTTGGTAATATATTAGTTACTCTTGAAATGATAAAATCCAACAGAAAGGAAGAGATAGCTACTGTATATTACAGTAAAGAAAGCTGCAGTTATTTTAAATTTAATGGAGATGAATATGCTTAATAGCTACAACTACTGCTGCTTGAGAGTAGCAAGAGTATTATTTTAGAACATATTCTACCCAACTTGAGAGTTCTTTTAAAATGATTGGCCGTATGAACACTTGTAATCTTGCCATTAAGATTGGACCTGCCATATTTTATTTTATTCTAGCATCCTAAATGGCTGCTTTTAATAGTCTAAAAATATTTATCAATACTGATCAGACTTTGAAGAAATTACTTTGTAAACCTGCTGTCTACCTGTTTGTATTGTATATATATATATATATTATATATTAAATATATAATATATTGAGATTATAAAAGATGAAAATATTGAATCCTTATATTTTAAGTTGCAGAATGTATGTTAAAAAGTGATTTGAATGAGATGTATTTGTATCTAGAAATTTTATTTCTTTTTGGAATGAGATTAAAATACATTTTGAAAGTTCAGCAGAGTAAGCAATTTATTTGTGTTGCTTATGTGTAAGTGTATTTAAAGTTTTATGGATGCTTAATGATTTCTCCCAAATTAAAATTATTTTTCTGTCATATCCAAAAATCAGAATCTTTCCCTCTCAAACCAGGTCTACAGGTATCATGTGTGCCTTTGTTAAATAGGACTTGTTTTGAATTTATACTTTCTAGAATTAGAAATATTTTTGTTTTACAGGCCAAAATTGAGATACTTTGAATGAAACATTCAAGGGAAATGAAAAAGTAAAATTCTTTTTGATGCTTTTTACATCTAAAGTTTAAAATGAAGGGTCAAGATTCTAAACTGTGTAAGAGATAAGCAAGGGTGGTTTTTTCTCTTTTTAAATAAAATGCTTTTCTATATAACTCTTAGGAGGCTTTCTTTATGTTTCAATGTTGTTACTACTATTGAAAGCAAATTTGAAATCCTTTTGTTATAATTTTCAGGGCTTAAGGTTCACATTCATTTGAAAATTTTAATATAGCAAATTCCTGTCTTTTGGAAATAGCTGATGTTTTAAAAGACAAGGAATGCTTATACACTGCTAGGGATGTAAATTAGTTCCACTCCTATGGAACACAGTATGATGATTTCTCAAAGAACTAAAACTACCACTTGACTGAGCAGTTTTACTATTAGGTATCAATTCAGATGAAAGGGAATTATTTTATCAAAAAGAGACCTGCACTTGTCTGTTTTTTGAAGCAGTATTCACAATAGCAAAGGCATGGGGTCAACCTAAGTGGCTATCACAGGTTGACTGGATAAAGAAAATATGGCATATATACACCATAGAATACTATGCAGCCATAAAAAAGAATGAAATCGTGTTCTTTGCAGCAACCATGGATGAAGTTGGAGGCCATCATCCTAAGTGAACTAACTAAGAGACAGAAAATAAAATACCAGATGTTCTGTTATAAGTAGGAGCTAGACAGTGAGTACACATGGACATAAAAATGGAAATAATAGACATTAGGGATTCCAAAAGAGGGGAGATAGGAAGGAGGTGAGGGTTGAAATACTACCTGTTGGATACTATGTTTACTATTTGGTTGATGGTTTCACTAAAAGACCTCAGCATTGTGCAATACACCCATTTAGCAAACCTGCATGTGTACACCCTTTATCTAAAATAAAACATTAAAAATTGAGTAATAACTGCTTAAGCTGGATAAAACCCTTTGACTGAAATGAATTGTGAATATATCCTAATGACATTTCTTGTGTATTTCCAAAAGAAGCATTTCAAATACATTTTGAGATATATCAGCATCATCAAAATGTTTTTGTTTTATAATAAGATGATACCAAGATTTAACATTTATCTTGTATCTTAAAGTTCTCACCTAGACTAGAAAAGAATCTCACATGATATTTATAATCATTTTAAAAGGTAAAATTGAAGTTATTGAGTTTCAAAGATTGTACAGTGGAGTAATACGGGGTAAAAGATACAGAATTCATTATTGGATGGAATAATATGTATGTCTAAGGTTCTATTGATTCATTATTTTTAAACTTGAACTCTAAGTATACTCTGGTTTGGGCAAACCAAGTATTATTTTAAGTAAGAGGTTTTGTTTAGTTTTCTTGCTTTTCAAACTGATTTATTTATGCAATTTGTCTTTGAACCAAGAGCTATGTTCTTTAAATGCAAAAAGGTTTGTACTTCATGTAAATCAAATAATATACTAATATCCCCAAATTAGACCAGTAGAATTCTTTTATTTTGTATGTTGTACTTTAGTCAATATAATATGCTTCAAAGGTCAGTTATTTTTATTATATGTGTTTGCTCTTATAATCTTGCTTTTGTATGATTTGTAGGATTTGGACAATTTATTAGTTCCTGTCTTTCCTCCTCCCCCACTTGCTGGCCATTACACTATAAAATCAGTTATATTTCTTCTTCCTAGCCCTGTTGATTTGTCTGAAATGAAGAGCATATAATTTTATCTTAATATCCGTATTTTTATTATATTTGGTATTTCCCCTAGAATCCCAATTGATATGCATAAAACAACCAATACATGCAAGCAGAATGGGCTCATTGTCTTATTATTTCTGATATAAGTATCATTGGTAAAATAGTGGCATTTCTTCTTGAGTTATGATTCAGAAGAGATATTCATCCATTAATGGAATTGACAGGTCCAGGAAGCAATAAATAAAATTCATTATGAAAACTATAATTGGAACTTCACTGGATAGATTTTTTTCTTTCAAATGAAGATTAAATTCTCGGTATTATGAAGCCTAAGGTCTCAACATTCTCTGAATTTATACACAGTTTCTGAGCCATCACATAATTGAAAATGGCCTATCAAGGTATATGACTTTATTCAGCTGAATAAAACTAAGTGATTTTTGAATGCAGATCATACTGTGTCTTCACAAAGATTTAGGTGGCTTAAGGCATCAGATTTAAACACACTAGTTATACTAGAGCTTGAACCCAGTGTCTCGAATAGTTGTACAGTCTCATCTTTTAATTCCTATCCGTCTTAATATGTTCATACTTTGGCATTAGATCTGAGCTTGTTCTATGCCATGAAAACTCTGATGTGGACTCTAAGGGTGGTCAAAAAGCTAATGTCTTACTTGACGATATCTTGGGATTAAAACAAAAGCTAATGTCAACCTTTTTCTTCTTTAAAGTGGTAAACATTTTCACATTTTTGTTTTCTTTTTGGGGGAAAATAACAGGTAGAGCCTTTTTATATATTTGTCTTCTGTTGTCATTGGACTCCCTTTTTAGCTATGAACTATTCATGTTAGGCCTATTTTTAATGTATCAGAATGTATATTTTTCCATCCTAATTTTTTGAATCTTTTTTTCTCCCATTACTCCCTACATTTAGTTACTGTTATTTCTCCCATTTGGCAAAAGACAACTTATTTTCTTAAATGAAGTAGTAGCATAATTTTGTAGGCAGACTGCTAATCTACAAATCAGAAAACATCCCATTTCTGTCTATAATTAGCTGGTTTTTTTTGCATTTTTAAAATTAAGACTTTACATTAAATGTGTTGCTGTATACTTCTAAATATGATAACTGAATTGTCTGTGCTATGAGAAAAACAAACAGCTATGTTTGGTTTTAGGAATGGTTACCGATTATGTTGGAAGGCATTCATTCATTGTTATTTGAAAATGACTTCACAAAGAGTGCTTCATCTGGAATAATTTCGTCTGTACTGTTTTCCTTATTTTTTAGTATTTGTTGAGTTCCTGTAATGTGCCATAGGCTGTTCCACATATCCTAGCTATAGCAATAAACAAAACAGCAAAATCTCTTCCCTTCAAGATCTTAGCATTTAGTGGGGAGAATGCAGGCAATAAATTAAGATAAAGAGTCTAATATAGAATATCTTAGAAAATGATGGGACCAAATGAGGAGGTGGGGGAGAAGTCAACAAAGGGTAAGTATTAAGTCGAAGGGTAGAGATAAAATTTTAAATTAGGTGTCCAGAGGAAGCCTCACAGAGAAGGCGATTTTCTGAGTTATGTCTTGAAAGAAATGAGGACCACGATAGTATTTTTTTCTTATATTACTGTGGTTCATTGGTAGGCAGAACAACCTGATTTCTGGGACTTTACCAGCTGAGATCACCACAGTTAAAAAAAATAGATAATATTATATACTTCTCTGTTCAGTTCTTCTGTTGTACAGGAAGGAGTATAGCCGTTGAATAAAATGTTGAGTGTTTGCTAATAAACAGTAATGCATATAACTATAATCCCCAGAGTCTGCTGCTTATAATCTGTCAAGCTCTTTTAATTTGGAGAGGTTTGCATTTTATTTCAGTAGAACTTTTAAAGATTCAGTGTTTGTAAGATTCTAGAACAATATGATGTGTCCATTTGGCAGACAGATTTTACCCATATTTCTTTAATCTGTCAGATAATTTGGTACATAAAGAGAATTACACTAAGGGTAATGTGACTGAAGACAAATTTGGATTAATATATCTTATAACAATTTAAAAATATACAAAATGTTGAATAAGGTTTGGATATATCAAGTACCCATTGCTGAAGTATTAAAAATGATGGATGTGTTTTTTAAATAGTTCTCTATAAAAATTAGGTTTAACATATTATTTATTTGAAATGCATTTTTTTCTGTAATTCTGTAGTGAACCAATTTACTAATGAGTATAAATTTCCAAAAGACTAAAACAAATGAAACTGTGAATTACTTTAGATAGCATTGATAAGAACTAAGAATTACTGTAATCGTGTTTATGTGTATATTTACTTGTTTTTCATTTCTGTTAATAATTTCTCTAAACATGAAATGTATTTTTTTCACATATTTAAATTTCTAACATTATAGTTGGTCTTGGACCTATTTTGGATAAGTGGCAGATATTTAAAGTAAATATTGAGAAAGAACTGAATTATAATAAACCAAAAAAAAATTTTTTTAATGTTAATCAGGGTCTGGTGGCTCACACTTGTAATCCTAGCACCTTGGATTCCACTTCCTGAGGCAGGAGGATCTCTTGAGGCTAGGAGTTCAAAGCCAGCCTAGGCAACATAGCAAGACTTCATTTCTAACAAAATAAAAAAGAAATCATTACAACTTAAAAATTAGTAGTTAAAATTTAAAAGAGCAACGCTGCAGAGCAGGAAAAGTATTTTTTGAACATTTTTTTTTCTCATGTTATTTTATTGTTTGTTTGTATTGAGACAGGATTTCTGTCACCCAAGCTGGAAGGAAGTGGCACTATTAGAGTTCACTGCAGCCTCTAGCTCCTGGGCTCAAGGGATACTCCTTCCTTGACCTTCCAAGTAGCTGAGACTACATGTATGCCACCACGCTTGGCTAGTTTTTTATAATGCAGACAAGGTTTCATTATGTTTCTCAGGCCAGTTTTTAACTCCTGTATTCTAGCGATCCTCCTGCTTTGGCCTACCAAAGTGTTGAGATTTACAGGGGTGAGCCACCACACCCAGCTGGAAAAT